CGTCTTTGCTAATTCAGTGGAAAAACACGGTAAGATCTAATTTTGCTAAGACAATGTGATGACGAATGCTGAGTAGGTAACAGAAAACTCCTGTTGAAAAATTTTTTCTCCACTATTGCAAGGATCGATCAGACGGTTAGGAGAGATCCTTTTTTTTATATTTTTCCCGAATAACATCATGTTTTCTACTTACACTAGTATAGAAAAACCTTGTTGAAATCTGGCTGCTCGAATAAATAAAGTGGGGATATATATTCTTTGATATTGACAAGCTCTAATCAAACTTTATATAAACTATTATTATTTTTGATAAATCATCTTTCCTTGATAAATTCACAACTTTTCCGTTACTCGTTACTTGATAATAGATAAAATTTCTGAGGAAATTATCATAGGAAAAAAAAAAGCTGATTCCAACGATTAAGAGTGTCCCAAGGTTGAGAATCGATCCTTGTTGAAGGAATTGGTGAGCAAAACAAATGAAGAAAATCGTTCAGTTTCACTGTGAAAAAACGAACATTTTACAAGATTAGGAGGATTGCCTCTGATTCCTGACGATTCTACTGTCGCAGAATCCGCTGTTTCTCACTTGGATGCTGATAGAAGACATTGACATCATATTCAAAATGTGACAGTGATCATAAATATATTCGATAAAATCTTTACATGCTACGATCTCTTTCATAAGATGAACATTATTTCTAGACACATTTTTTTTAACAATTTCATCGAGATTCCGTAAACATTTTTTCTTACAAGTAGTCTTAAGTTAATTCAATACATACATGCTAATGGATGTGCTTTAAGTATATTTTCATCATCATCAACATCATCATCTTGTCTATCATGTTCTGTTGATGGTATAAACATATGCCATATACATGAAATTATAACTTCAATTAAATGACATTTTTCCATAGCATATTCAGCAATAATATTTGAAGAAAATAATTGTACACTAATATGAACGAGACGTGATGGTATTTCACTTGTTTCTACAAGTGATTCATCAATAAGTGATTGTGCTATAACACCATAGAAACGTAAAAATGTTTCTGTAAATAAAAGCTACAAAAAAAAAAGAAAAATATTATTTTGTTAAAAGAAATGAAATTCTTTGTCTATATATGATTACTTTAAAATTAAAATCCGGTAATAAACTAAGTAAAAATCGTACAAGATCCTCTGGTAAATTTGCTGTAACACACCACATCATTATTTCATCAAGCATTGTATGTAAACTTGTATCAAATGGTATTAAACTATTTGATGTTGAATCATTCATTAATGATTCAACAAAAAATGTTACTGGTAATGTTGAATATTCACCAGTTAAATATTCATAATGATAAAGTCTAATCATTGATACTAAACAAATGAAATTTAACAAAAAAAAATAGAAAAGAATTAAAGAATTTCTTTCTTCATACGATCAGTAGTGAATTCTTCATAAAGATTTCTATCACTTAATGCATTTGTTATATATAGTTGTATAGCTGAACCACCATTTGATAATTGATTAAGTATTTCAAGTAATTTCTGTTCTGTTACTATATCACCTAAAATAATAAATTTAATCAATATTTTCAGTGATTTTTGTATGGAAGAAAAAAACAACAGAAACAAGAATAAAATGTCTTTACCACTAACAGTACTCATACGTAAAGCACGTATAAAAACTTTTAATAAATGTGGTATAAGTAATTCTGCACAACATATTAATTCACGTGGTACCATTTGTGTTTTGGGTCGATTTTCACCATGAAAACGACAGAATCTATTTATCAAAAATAATCAAATAAACTTATGTTAGAAAAGTTCTTCTTAACAAAATCTATGTTCTGCTTTTTTTTTCGATCTGATCTATTGCTGAAGTCAACAGAAATCTATTGGAATTCTTCTAATATTTCGCAACAAAATAATTTTACTGCCATCAAAAGAACATTCTTCACTCTCCTAAGAAACAAGCCATAAAGCACGAGCTCTTTTTATGGTAGATATAATTCACCATAATCCACAAGATGCACTTAGTCTCTGACGAAAAGCGTATCGATACCTAAAAATGTTCCCTTGTTAGGAAAAATATAATAGATTTCCATTGTATGTATCAGTATCTCAAAATTATCTTAATTCTTAGATTGTATAGGAGAACTTTTTTTTGTATACGAACTAGTGTTCTGCAACCTAGTCGGGTTCTTGACAATTAATGAGATCTCGATGTTTCACAATATTTTGACTTCTTTCAAACTGCTAATTTATATAAAAATATGGAGGTGAAAACCCAAGCAATTTGTTGCGCTTGAGAACAGGTCACAGGAGTAGAAACTGATATTGTTTTACTAAAAGAATTGATTTTTAATCAAAAAAATTATCTATAGGCGATGATAAACCATATGACGAAGTAACTGAATGCAAGAGAAGCAAAATGAATTATCAAAAACAAGAATATGTATGCATTCATAATCATGACATTTGATACCAACACTGTATTCTATTCCAGCGCCATCGACAACAAGCAATTATATACTCAACGAAATTATATCGAATTTTAAAAGCAGAAAGGCACCAAGTGAATCCTGATTTACTTGTTTTTTTTGTAGAGTTTGAGATTATCTATTTTTTTTTGTTGCTGTTTTTATGAAAGAAACTAAATAGTATACTTTTTCGTATAAAATGAAAGTTTAAAAACCGTATTATAACTGTGAATGTATCTGCCGGATGTCGATAAGTTACTATCGGGTCCGGTTGCGAAAAGTCGTACTCGTGCAGGACACTAATGCGAACACAGCTAGATTGTGGGAAACAGTTTTTCATAAGATGATAATTTACAAACTACTTCTAATATGTAATTTTATCAAATAGAAATCTGTCAGAAAGAAACTGGAATTTATTAACCTAATTCTGATAATTTCTAGGAAGATGTAAACATTTTTCATTTATTTTCCATACTGAGATAATTAGATAAATTAGTATCGAGAGACTTTGCTTGCATTCAATAAACTATATGAGTTCTCGACAATAGAACCCAACTCAGTTATATTTGTTTTTGTTTTTTACTAACAATGGAAATGTTTATGTTGTAAGTTAATGCAAGTAGACATATTCGGATCAAATTAAAGCTCTCACTACACAATGTATATTTTTGCATGGCAGACATACATGTAAGTTTCATTCTTGGAAACGCATTTCTTTTGCTCAGAAATGATTGTATGTCATTCAGAGAATCACTTCTGAGAAAATAAAGAACTTTTCAGTGAAAAATATCTGAGAAGAATCCTCTCCTATATTTTTCCGAAAACATTTTTTGGTTAGAAAATATCTTGTGCTTTATATCATCCGATGTAGTTTCGCGCACTGATTCTGAATATACATTTGATTTTCAATAGAAATGCATCGAAGTCCGAACAAAAAACGAAACTCAGTGGAAAAACCAATGCATATTTTGGAAAGAATACAGCTTCAGCGGATTCAGATCGGCGCTAAGGGACGTGCATTCGTTCTACAGAGCTTAATCATACCAAAAATTAGTTAAAAAAAACTTTTTTCTTTCATATATGGATAGTACTCGTCGAAGTTGCATGAGGAAAAGTATTTTTGAAATCTTCAAACAAAATATTTAAAGAAAATCAGAATTTTTTTGTAATATTTGAAAATAATGGTATCTTGAACTTTTTCGTAAGACAGGTTTTTATAATTTCAAACATACTTTTTCCTTATGTAACTTGACGAGGTCTATCGAAATATAAAGGGAAAAATTTCTACTGAAGTTTTGACTTGTGAGTAATACTTTACATACACTGTAAATATCTTAGAATTCATATCTCGACATAGGTATAATAACAATAGCCAATATTTTAAATTTGATAGTTTAGTGGTGAAAGCTTTAATTTAACCCAACATATGTCTATTCTTATTAACTTACAATACAAACACCTGCACTGTAAGATAAGCACTAAAGACAAGGATATGTCGATCCTTTAATATTATATTTCGTACTTTGAATGTATCATACAGAATATGAATAATTGCAAAATCAAGTCATGGACATGATGAAACTTAATTCTTTAAAATGTATTTAAGAAAGATACAAGGATCCTTTATCATTAAATTTAAATTATTGACAAATGTTTTCTATTCTCTAGTTTAATATAATGGAAATTCTCAATAAAATTTAAAAATACTGATAGATCGACTGAGATGTTTTCAATTTGTAACAAAATCCGAAGCAACAAATGTCGATATACTTTAATCCAAAAGACAAATTCTATTCAATTTTCTCGATATATAATCAAAACGAATAAATATTTTTATATGTTTTTTTTTTGTATTATCTACCCGAATTCATGCATAACGCTTGAATCGCCACAATCACATGCACCACCGGCTTGACTTTTAAACATATTATAATTATGTCCTTCATGATTTCCATTTTGAAAACATTGAGCACATATACTCATACATGGTGATATCGAACATGTTTTACATCGATATGCAATAACTTGCGCATTCCAAACAAGACCACATATTTGTGCACTATTATATTGACGAACTAAATAATAATAATAATAAAAATAAATAAGTTTTCTTTTGTTTCTTTTTTTTTATTTTGTCATACTTTTTTCAATGAATTCATCCATTGTTCGATTACCAGGAATATATTGTTGAAAAAAATGTACTAATGTATCAATATTTTCATTTTCATGAATATTATTTGTTAAAAGTTTTTCAAGTTCTAATTTATCAATTGTACCATTAACTAAACCAGTTTCTAATTCTTCTGGTGTTAAATATGTTGAATCAGCTGTATCCATTAAAAATATTGATGTAGATTAAATACAATCTAAAGAAAACGAACGAATAGCTTTTAAATATAAGAAACAAAAAAAAACAAACATATTGTCTAGGATGACTCATTCGATGACACAATAGAAAAAGCTAAAAACAACAGAACGAACATATTTATGTTTATTGTCGGTTTTTTTTTGCATTTTAACTAATAAATGATCAAACGAATTCCTCGTTATTGTTCGAAATTATATTTTTCATCAATAGCAACTGAATTAAAATCATCAAATGAAATATATGTTCCACCTTATCAACGACCATCATCAGATGATATTAATAAACTTGAAGAATTTATATCACATTCAAAACGATTATTTATTTTAACAGGTGCCGGTATATCAACTGAATCAGGTATACCAGATTATAGATCAGAAGGTGTTGGACTTTATGCAAGAACTACAAATCGTCCGATGTAAAAAAAAAAATAAAGATTTTTTTATTAATGATTTTGCTTTTTTTTTCGATAGGATGTATCAAGAATTTTTAACCAATCCAAAAAGATATAGAATGTATTGGGCTAGAAATTATATCGGTTGGCCAACGTTTTCTACGTTTCAACCTAATGCAACTCATAAAACATTTGCTAATTGGGAAGCACAAAGAAAAGTAAAGTTTTTATTGACGAGAAAAAGAAAAATAACTTATTTTTGTTTCTTATTTTTCTCTATTTTTATTTCCAAGGTATTTTGGCATGTTACACAAAATGTAGATAGTCTATTGACAAAAGCTGGATGTGAACTATTAAGTGAATTACATGGTTGTAGTGCAAGAGTTGTTTGTGTTGATTGTGGTTATAAAGATCTTACACGTGAACAACTACAACAAATTATATTTAATCAAAATCCTGTTTGGATAGCACATTCAAATATAATTAATCCAGATGCTGATGTATATTTAACTGAAGAACAATTAGGCGATTTTAAAGTAGATTAAGATAGAAATCTTCAATTTTCTTTTTCTTCAACTGTCTTATAAATTTTAGCCACCTCAATGTCCTCGATGTTCTGGTCGAGTGAAACCAGATGTAACATTTTTTGGTGATAATGTCGATCGTCATTTGGTTGCTTTTATAAAAGAACAATTAAGTAAAAGTGATTCTGTTCTAGTTGCTGGTTCCTCACTTGAAGTAATGTCATCTTATCGTTTTATTCTTGCTGCACAACAATATCAATTACCGATTGCTATTGTTAATATTGGTCGTACACGTGGTGATCATGCTGCTCAATTAAAAATCTCTACTCGTTGTGGTTTAATATTACCTCTTATAAAAATAAATTCATAAAATAGAAATAGAAAAAGATAAAAATTTCTTTGTTTGTTCTTTTATTTTCGTACATAATATGTTATATGATAGAAATAAAATACAAATATTATTTTATTAGAAATTTATTAAAGTTATTAATTTTGATGCATTGATTAGATTTATTATCTCATTTATCAATGTTATCATCATTATTTCATTATTTATATTGCATTAAAATATGAATATTCACCTAATTAATCAAGAAGAAGGTAATAGAAAAGTTTGTTTTCCTTGATAATTGAGATTAAATTGCTCGGATACTAAAAATAGATTTATTTAATATAATCTTTTATCACTTTTTTTTTCAAAATTTATAATAGTCAATTAAATAATTATTATTGACTAGTTGTAAACTTTCGATGGTTAGTAACCAAATAAGTTCTTTTTTTTGTTTCGTTCTTTAATTTTTATTTGTTAAAACAAAGTGTCGATTGAATTTTTCAAGTTTTAAAGTTAAGCAAATCACGTAAACATTTGAGTTTTTTTTATTGTTCAGACTAATAGTGATTTGAACACAGTGCAACATTTTGAATTTCAAAACTGGTTTAATACGGTCAACTGTTAGACGCTAAATAATTCATATTTTCTATTGACATATTGCTTATAATTGTATACCAACGACTTCAATGCTAGAACTATAGCATCAAAATATTATAAATTTAATTTATAATCGAAAACTTTTATTGTAAAACCCTCTAAAATTGTTACCAGTGTTAATTAACAATGACAAACAATTGTTGAAAAATGACTTTTGCCAGTAACAAGTATATAATAATAATGTTTATGTTATATTATAGAATATGATATATAAAAATCTATAGGATTTATTGATTGTAACAAAACAATTGTTATAGATGTCACTCGCAAGGAAATACATTTCTTATTTATTGAAAGAAAGTCTCTAACAATGTACGAATAGCTATTAATTGCTGTTGCTTTCATATAGTTAATCTAACTCTTAGAAACTACTACAACACGATAAGTTATCACTAGCGCAGCGTGTCTTTAGCTTATGTGTCTTGTGATGTTGTCAATGAATACACTACACTATGGCAAAATTTATAGAGGGTAGCACAACCAAAACATTTTCAGTTCAAAAAATCACGATTACAGAAAGTTGTCAGTGATAAGAAGTATTACATTCAATTGTCAATTAAATTTAGAATTTTTCAATATCTAAATTGTAGCATGAAAATCATTGCTAAAAAAGTCATAAATCAAATGCATAAACGATGTTGCAATCTACTAACAAAAGTATAACTGCGCTAGGATCTCACAGATTATTACTAAAACACTTTGGAATAAATGTGACTGATAATTATGGTATCACTTGGTAGATTTTTTAAAGATATTTGCAAATTTTTCAGTGCAAGTGTTTTTGTATGAGAAAAAATGATAGAGGACGCTATTTTCTCAATCTATGTTTTGCTATCTTCAAGACTCTTATGAAAATAAAATATTATTCTACAGTGAAGCATTTTGACAAGGTTAGATTAATCATATTTTGTTTGAAAATGAGGAAAAAATCGTATTGAACAATTCAAGTAACCTATATATGATTTTCGTCTTATTTCTGTCTTTCTATTTCGACTTCAATGACTCATCCAAATGCTCATTGCGATGGACCATTCATTACGTCTTATGTTTTTCAAAAAAAATCTCTCTTTTCGTCAGTCGAAAATACAAATCTGAATACAAGAAAATGCTCTGAAATTTCTTGCTGCAGATCTTAAATGAATATTTGCAAGAGTAGTAAAACTGAGCAAGAATAATGATAAATTTGTAAGTCTTTTTGGATATCTTTCACTACAAAACTATATTAGTATGATTTTATCTCTAAAATTTATATTTAATCTCCAAAATGTAAGATGAAGGATCGTGTAAATATAAAAAATTTGTCATAGATTATCTTTTTTGATTAAATTAGATTATTATTAATTTTAAAGATCAGAATTTATGATACATATAAATGATGTCAATTGAAATGTAGAATGGAAATTGAGTTTACTCGATATATGAAGTTGATGTGAACGTGAATAATATTAATCATATCGCTAGATGAATGATTTTTCATGAAGGATAAGCTTTTAAAATTGATAAAGTATTGGAATCTTAAGAAAACAAATGAAAGATTAATTAAAATTTCTAATTTTTCCAATAGAACAACCTGAGTGACAACATTGATTTGTTACTCTGAGTTTGTGTATATAAAAAACAACATTACATTGGGTTCATAAGGAGATCCCAATAAGACTAGAAACATCCTAACAGAGTTCGTATCCATAAACCTCTGGAGTTGAGCTATGGATATTTTAGTGAATTTTCTATGCAGCTTTAGACATTTACCAGAAAATCAAATAATGAAGTTTCGGCCTGAGATTTTGTCTATAGATAGATTTGATGAATTTGGAAATATCTTGAAAGTTTCAGCCGAAAAGAATGTTCCTTTGTCGAGATATTGAATTTCCAAAAAGATGATCGTTTGCCAGAAAAATCGAGTTTACTTGAAAATTCAATATCTCGATAAATGAACATTTTTTTTCGGCTGAATTTCAAATCGAAATTCTCTTGTTTGATCTTTCGGTAAATACCTAAAGCTGGGTTGAAAATTCAGTAAAACGGTCATGATTCGGCTTCAGAGGCTCACAGGTACAAATCATTTAAACTATTTTCTAGTCTTACCGAGACTTCTTTTTGGATTCAAGATGAGCTCAAATGGTGAATTACAGTTCTGATAGTTCTCACGTTAGTTCTTTCTATTTTGATATAAAAAGAGAAAATAATAACAAAAATAAATGTAAAAATTTGTTCAGTTAAATGATGATATATGAGACTTATGTTATTCTAGAAAAGCGATCATATCTTTCACTAATTTTTTGACGTACGAATTGTCCACGAACTGTTTAGCAACACATATGAGTAATACCAACTCGATCCTTTTCCAAAAACTGAATATCAATCAGATTAATAGATATTTTTTTTTGTAATAGTTGAAGAGAAGCGATTAATAGACCATACAATTGGTCATTATCGATTGATTAACCACATTCAATACAATTAAAATTAATAGTATCGGGTTGGTTTTTCAGGTACTCATAATTTTTTACTAAAACTACCTCACAATAAGTTTCCAAATAATCACAACAAACTGTGGTTTAACAAAATACTCAATATATAATGATGATATTTCATTTTAAATAACAAAGAGCATCATTTATATTTGATTTCTCTTATATTTTTTGTTTTATTCTATCAACAGATTGGTTTGTTTTTTTTTCTACCCAGGATGACGTTTACAGCTATCCGTATCTTTCATCTTAAATTTTGAGCATCGTAGTTACGTCGTATACTGTCGTAAAATATCTGCCGGCGAGACGATAAAAAAACGTTATGTCAACAGGATGTATACGGTGACGAGGGTGCTAGACGTTTAATCGTTGAATAAAGACTATTAAATGTTGATAAACACAATCGGCTATTTCTTTTTATAACTTGTTGTAGATCATTTGGATTTGAATCTGTTGTTACTATTCTAGATAAAATATTTTTTATTGTTTGTTAAATGAATATTTGTTATTCGAATTGTAATGAAATGTTTGATAAAATATTAAACATAATTCTTTTTATTTTTCTTCAATAATATTCAATGCCTTCAATAATACTTGTAGTTTATGATCAGCTAGCATATCGTTACTGTTCATCAAATGTATCTAATATCTATAAGAAACTATCAGTCATAATCATCCGATTTTTTGTTGATTATATTTATTTTTTATCTTGATAGATTAATCAGAGGAGAATATATATGTAAAAAAATGCTACTATAAATCAGTAATGCATATTAATTCAAATACTGTTTTATTTGGTCGAACAATTCTTCTTGTTCCTTATGGAAAACATCATGTCAAAAAGTAAGTATCAATAATTCTTATTTCATTAAGTTTTATTCTTCGATTAGATATCATACATGGATGGAAAATGAAGAAATACGAGAATTAACTGCTTCATTACCATTAAGTATTGACGAAGAATATGAAATGCAACAGACATGGTTAAATGATAAAGATAAATGTACATTTATTATTTTATCTAAAGAAATATTTGATCGAACACATGATGAGACAGGTAAAAAAAAAAACATTAGTTATTATTGAGGTTTTGAAAGTTAATAGTAATTTGTATAGAATCGATGATTGGTGATGTGAATTTGTTTTTAAATGATCCAGATGATATTCATTGTGGTGAAATCGAGATCATGATTGCTGAAGTAACAGGACGACATAAAGGCTATGGAATAGAAACACTCTATACATTTATTCGTTATGGTAATAAATTTTATTCATTTTATTAAAATTTTATTGTTTTATGTAGCTATTGAAATACTTAATATAAATCGATTTATCGTTAAAATTGGTTTAAAAAATTTACCAAGTATTACTCTATTCACAACAAAATTTCATTTTCTAACAGTAAATAAAAAAAAAATTAATTTGTTTTATTGCTTTTAATTATTAATATTTATTTAGATCCAAAAATCAGAAGTTTTTCAAGAAATTACAATGGAACGACATGTAGACAATGAATTTATTGATTTATTACATACTAAAACACCAAATTATAAAATCGATTTCTACAATAATATAATTACAAATAAGAAAGTCTGATGTTAATTTTTTATATAAAAAAATAAAACTATCATCAGAATATAGAGATTTCATCATCTATTTAAACATACTGTATAAATATGTAAAATGATTGAAACAAAATACGAAAGATCATTGACGTAAATTGCATTTCATTCAACTATTGACTTGCGCCAAGTACTGCTAATCACATCCGAAAACATTTGAGTAATCTGAATAGAAAAATTATTCCAACTATAGACAAAATATATCAATTGATTAATATAAAATTTCTTTAAGCTAATAATTCTTTCTTCACTTAACTATCTCGATTATATTCTAATTGTAATCAGTTTCTACTCATCTAGTATATATCTAAGAACTTGAGTTTGTATTGATTAATAGATGATGATTTAATTAAAAGTATACTACAATTATACAATATAAGAATAATTACGAAACAATATTGATTATTAAAGCAAATGTTTGAATAAATATTAGTACTTTTCAATCTATGTTATCGGTGCAATAGCTCTTGCTTGATGTCGTAATCGTAACATGTTCTTCCTTTCGTTTCTTCGTCTAGGTAATGATACAGCAGAAGCAATTGGACAAAGAATTATTGTACAATAATTCAAAAATAGTGCATATTCTGTAATTTTTGAGGTTGCATCAAGTGGTATTCCACTAAGATACAAAACACTCATTATTGTTAATGGTAAACCAAATATAAGATAAATGATAGCGACAAACAACAATTGAAGTGCCATTTTCCAGTGTTTTCGCCATTTTAATGATTGACCTATACGATTCTTTTGCCGACGAATGCGTATTAGTAAACCAATACTAAATCCAACAATAATAAAAATGGGTAAAATCTGATGAACTAGTGTATCGTATGTGTAAAGTGATGAAGAAGATTTAAAATAACAAGGCTTGATACAAATCATACTATAAGCATCAAAAATATTTTCACAAGGTGGAAAAAGTATAGTCACACTATAATAAATGAGACAGTAGAGAACAAGCATAATTAAAGGTAAGTAATGTACTAATAAACGTTTCTTTTTTGTTGATATCCACTTGTCATGAAAAATTAGAATATGTCTTTCTATTGTAGCCCATGCAAAGAGTATTGTGTGAGTATAATAGAGTCCCCAATCAATAAACATCCAGATAGTACAAAATAAATGTGTCCTTTTCCATATATTTTTCTTATAATAAAAATGGATCATCCATGGATAAATTGTTACTTCATGAATTAAACAAATAAAAATAATAATAATAAGCACATGATTATGAAGAGCATGCCGTAATTTTCGATTCCACAAAAGATGACAGAGCATAAATACTGAAGAGATAATTGATGGAATGAGACAGATAAGATAGAGCCAAAATTTGACTGCACTCGGTATTGATTCATTGTAATTAATTAATGAATTATTGCTGTAGTTGAAAGTGTCACTGTTATTTAACATGGCACAGAAGAGAAAATTGTTTGAATAAATATGAATTTAGAAAAAAAAAGTTGAAGGTTGTGATATGACTATGACTCTTTTCAATTATGATTATTAATTTAAAAGAGGATCAAAATGATATCTGCTTCAATGATGTATGCTTATCTGAAACAGTCAATTGTTATAACTAAAAATTGTTTTTTTTTTTTCGAATTCAAGACAATCTTTTAAATCGTGTCATACAAAAATGCATTCTTAAGACTTCTTGTAATTTTTCAATGGTCCAGATTATAATACTTACATATTTTGAATGGTGACGATGTGAGGCTAAGGATTGAATTCCCTGTATGCTCAACGAATTATTTCGATCACTCTTCGAAATGTTTATCTAGCCAAAACACGTTAAGGCGACATTCTAAGATATTTCGATTCCAAAAATCGACGTTTTGAGATACATTCTCTCTCTAATTTTTCACTATTCTGTCTGTAATGCTTCCCTACAAGACAAAAGTAACATAAAATATCTTTCAGTTATCTGACTGATAAAAGGTAGACTAATGGAAAATCATATATGATATACGATGGAAAGAAAAAGAAACACTGAAAACTCTTAGTTTTTTATTTGAAAATAATGGCAGATGTGCAAAGAGAAGTGTAAATAATAAATATTGAATAAAACGCCTCTTTTTCATTTTACATCAGTATCGTGTGTTGTTGGTCGTTTCTCTTAGATTATTAGAGAGGAAGTTTATTATCAAGTATTGATTCCGTCTGCAAAAAATAAGTAAAAAAGATAAATTTTAAAAAGGCATATTTTTCTGAGATCTACATATAATAAAACAATCTTCTGAGCTCTGCTATAATCCTACGAGAAGATGCAGAGGCTAAAAGAATTTTTTTTCAAATTCCGCAAAGATTTCTTATCAGATGAAGTTCTCGTAAAAAAGGCCATGTGTTTATAGAGTAGTGATTGTTTTCAGTACACTTGCTTACATATTATGTCTACTTGCGCTGTGGGAAACTTCATAGTTATGTTGGTGATTGTTTCCACATAGACATAAATTACGTTATAGAACTCTAAGCAAAATGTTAAAAAACAATTCATTTTTACTTTTCTCTATCGTTCATAATTGGTTCACAAATTAAAAAAAATGACTAGGATCAATGAAGTGATTTTTCCAACATTTTATTCAATTTTGACTATTTCTTTTCTTTTTTTCGAAATTTGTCAAGTAAAATGAATATATTCTTGTTGGAAAAATTGTTTATCATTTGATACGTATTTCGGCGAAACTTTCAATACTATGCTAGCATTTAACGGACATTTCACTTTATAGTGTAATACTTATATGTCATCTTCTTCAATAGTAAACTTGATAATTGACAGAAAAGTTTGCGTTTAATAATAATTGGATACTAAGAAAACAATAAAATTCAATATGATACTTCATTTATTACTATCACAAGTTAACATCGATAGTAGATTTCATATGACATTAGTGTCGTGAAAATAACTAATGACAATTCGGTTGATAGATGATTTCAAAGATATATAGAAAGGACTAGTCAAGTATGTCTTGTTCGTTCGTAATACGTCAATGTTGAGAAAGAGTGTCTATTGAGAAATCTGAATGGTGTTTTGGCGCTGTTAAAATTTCACATCTCTTGAAATACTATACTCCTTAAACATTTAAATAAATCACATTGTAAAAAATTCTACTCATTTCATTTTCACTAACGATTGCTTTCGTTTTATTCTTGTACCGAAGTCGTCTTACTGGTTCTTCGATGTGATTTTTTTAGAATCAGTTATATCTGCATCAATAATCAGCAATCATTCCTTATGCATACTTGATTAAGCATTAGTGTTTGACGTTTTGTTTTCAAATTTGAACAGCTGACGTAAATGATCTTAAGAATGGCTATATACACATAAAAACCTTAAAAAATTTTTGATAGAAAAGAGCTCAAAATCCATGTTTTGTTAATTTTATTTGTTTCATGCACAAGTAATGTTCATTGATACTCGATTCACTTGGTCCTAGACTGATTGAATAGAGATATTCACATTGGCACATCTAGATATAAAAACGTACACTAAGTAAGGTATTAGATAAATACAAGAGGTGACTCGACATATAACAAAGATCCATTTCACAAAATCAATTTTTTTGGTTATATAAAATTTCATTATTTTATTTATCAAGAAAAACTAATTTTGATATATGTGCAATTTATTATTTTTATACAAAAATTATATCAGGGGTTTTGATCATCACACCGTTGTAACTGTATGCGGTTTTGTTCTTTCATAGTGTTTTTGTTTCGTAAGAATTTTATGACCTTACAGACCATAACATTAATCTAAAATGTTGTATTATTTTTTTTTTCGAAACTTCTGTAAAAACGAGCACCAACAAAGGTAGCCACAGTAACTCTTTCTTTCACTTGATTGCATTTAAGAAAAGACAGATATCCATATCGATGGCGAGAGAAAAAACAACGACGCATCGCATCACGAAACACACCATCGAATATATTTGTTGAAGCATGATTGTGTGCACACATAGATCTGTTAGGGCCATCTTCAATACTGTAAAAGGTAGAAATTTATTTTTGAATCTAATAGTGATACTTCAAAGCAATATTTATAAATGTTGTTCTTAATAGGAAAGATTTCTGGAGTCTGCTCTATCACGGAAAAAAGATTAGCCTGATACAGTGAAGCAGAGTGGAGATATTCAATTCGTTTATTTTATAGCTAAGGTTACAGGAATTCAAAATTCGAGTGGTTTTTATTTTTTTGATTTTTATACATAGTTCGATGCAACTCGATGAGCTGAATCCGAATATATATGTATACTATATCCAAAAAAAAACTATATTTTGATGTCAAAAATCCAAAAAAACTTCGAAAATCCAAGGTTCGAGAAAACTTCGCATTTTTGAAGAAAAGTGTCTATAGCTCCTTCACAAAATTTGGTATAGTTTTAAAAGTTTTTTTCTTTAATCTACATGAAAAACTGATTCTAAAAATGTAGTTGTTGATCATTCAGCTCTTGTGAGTATGTTTGAGAAATACTGTTTATACCAACAGTTCGAAAACAGTACTTTGTCCCAGGAAAAAGGCATCAAGCTATTTCAAAACAGAGATAGAGCCTTTATTTCACCGTCGTTAGATTCCCCACATCGAGTTGATAAAAATTAAGTATTCTTTTCCTTTAACTCGTTTTTTGTTGAGATATGACATTTTTACTTTCACAACATCAAAATACTATCAATGGCTACGAAAAATGATGTCAAAATTTGACTATTTGATCGTCGAAAGTTGTTTTTCTAGCAAAACCAATGTCATATTCGGAATCAGTATAAAAAAACTGAGTCGAATAATATTTATTTCGTTACAAATAATTGTCTGTCAAGAACTTATCCCTAATCTCCTCAGCTGTTTTCTGTATGAATTTCGCCTGTGGTCTCCTACAGGTAAGTTTTTGACAGAAAATTATTTGTAACGAAGTATATGTTATTCAACTCAGTTTTTTATACTGATTCTGAATATGACATTGGTTTTGCTAGAAAAACAACTTTTAACGATCAAATAGTCAAATTTTGACACCCTTACTGTATAGATAGATATAAATATTTGTGTACATAGGAATATAAATTCAGTCGGAAGTAACTGAATATTTATTTTTCCTATAAGGCAATAATTTAGAAGTATTTGTAGTTGTCTCCTTTGTAAATAAGACATT